AAAAATCTGACATGGACTCTCTCAGATTTCTCTCTGATATAAGATCTGTTTTTCTGTGGCTGAATCAGTACACTTTTGGAATTTAAAATGAAATGGGTATATTTGATGTTTGTCGAAAGTGAGAAAGAGCGTATTTGTGTCATATTTGTGTGTATTTATGTGTTTATTTAAGCTTTATATTTTATTTGTGTTTATTTATATGAATTATTATAAATTATGAATTATACGAATTATTATAAATTATAAATTATAAATCTGTATTTATATTTTATTTATGTGTTGTCTATATATGTAAATTATCATAAATTATTATTTTTATAAATTATAAATTATTTATATTTATATTGTACATAAGACCTAAGAAATCAACCATTCGGAATTCTTTATTTCATGAAAAGGAAGGAAACGAAGGACTTTAATTGATTTTCTTTTGCATTACGTTATGCAAAAGTCTGTGCTTCCTGCTTTATTCTTCCACCTTTCACCATGGTTCTAGTGTAATCTAGTGCAGGAATAGAAAACAGATCAATAGACTGTATAGATTACTATAAATTGGTATAAATCAGTGATGCGCTGTTGAAAATTATTCCCACACGGGAATGTTCGTGCCCATATCGCCATTACGATGTGAAAGCAGCCAATACAAAACTGTTAAGCTGGAAACACAATGAAAAGCACAAGCAATAGGAACAGGGAATAAGAGATTTCAACTTATCAAAAACTATGAATAATAGAATGGACGCTTTTTGATAGGTTGAAATCTTTTATTTCTTGCCCGTGCTTTTCATCTTGTTTCCAGCTTTATTATTCCCTGTGCCCTATGTCTATTGCCTGTGCTATTGTGTTTAAGCCTTAATGGCAGCTTATGCATACGAACATTCCCATGTGAGAATATTCCCACGACAGCGTATCACTAGTTAGACAAGTGTGATATGTACGTATGTACATATATAATGTGTACTAGATGAGTTAGATAAACTATTAAATGACAATTAATATGTGGAAGAAATGTATATTTTAAATTATGATTTCAATGGAGATTAGAAATACACTTGCGTTATCCGCATCAATTTGTACTGTTTTACAGTTTCTAGCTGGCGTGTAAGTAATTTAAATAACGTCGATAGCTCACTAAACATTAAGTTTTTATTTATTTAAAAATTTATTATCATAATTTATATTTTTTGTTTAAAAATGTGTTTAACCTTGTATTATTTATCAATCTATGATTAAATATTTTATATTTCTATGTTTCAAATTATGAACTATTTATACATATCTTTTATTTCATATAATTATTTTATTTACCAAACTAAATATTTCATTTAGTTTTTATTTAATATAATTGACATAGTTGCATATTCTGTCAGATTCTTATCTATAATGATTTTCTAGTTCTTTTCTGTACGTGATAGGTCGTTCATATCTCAGAACACAAACAATTCAAAACACAAGTTTAAGGAAAAAGATAATGTTTTATATCTTAAAGTTGCAAACTATAAAAGAAAAAAAATTTATTAGTAGTTCAAAAATTTATTGATAGTCCAAAAAGCATTAGGTTCAGAAACTTGAATATGAGATTTTTTTTTAATATGTATGGGTATAAATCGAAGTATCCTCCATATAAAACTTAACAGTGATATTACAATAGGATCACAAGAAAATTGTGACCACACTTATGTAATTATTAAAAGGTCACAGTATAAAACTTAACAGTGACATCACATTATTATCTTAATCTACCCAGATAGCCAAGTCTATAGAAAGCAGATTTTTTAAATGTCTGCTGCACACTATGCCAACAAAATATCAACAGAATTGTTACAGATTTAGATGTACATAATATTGTTGACAGACTGCTAGAAAAAATATAACAGAATCTGCCAGCATCAGATGTCGGTAGAATCTGTTCAGTTTTTGCCAACAATTTGCCTTCACATTATGTCGACAGACGATGTTAACAAAACATAAGTCTAATGCAGACGCAGTTGATGGCTGCCGTCATTTTCTGCTCGAACCTGCTGACAGTCTGCTAGAAGACTGTAGACGTTTTGCTATCTGGGTATATATGTTATAATAGTCAAAATAAAGAAGACATCAATCCAATATCTGATTATTGATTGTTCACTAAATAATTGCGCCGTTTATCATTGCTGACTCTCATTAGCCTATTATATTTACCCTTTTGTATTGTTTAAAATTCGAGAGTCCTAATATAATTATTGCTATAATATAAAAGTATTACAGGAAGGTATAATTTTTATCAAAACTTCATTATAGCGATGTCACATTTGACAAAGCGGATGTTTGCATGTCACCATGCTTTTGTGATATTTTTTGCTGTGGGAGATAACTTATATATGTATATTGCCTTTACATTTTAAAACAATTATTGGTATTATGTCACAAAAACTTACTAATTAGAAGAAACTTTTTTGAACACTATTTAACATATAACGATATTTATAACATTTAAATAATGATAGTTCAACATTTCAGCACAAAATTATTAAAAATTTTTTCAATAGCTAATGAAATCCTTACATTATGAACGAAAATCAGTTAAAAATAAAAAAAAAATTTTTTTTTCAACTATAAAAAAGCACTCATTTTACAGATGATTGGGTCATTTGTGATCAACGTGAACTTCTGAGGCATTCTCATCAAAGAATGTGCATGAAATGATGTCAATGATGCCTTATCCCCTAATATCAAACTTTTTTTAAGGGAAAATATTTATTAGAGACCACTATTTTTAGCGAGCTGCTCTTAAAGAAACAGGACACAAATGACCCAATGACAGGACCCAATTATATTAATAATATTTTTAGATCTTGCAAGATATTTCATTACCATATAATATAATTAAACTATTTGATTTTAATATCAGATCAAATAAAATGAATAAATTTTACAGATTAGTGTGTAAAAAATATATTAGAAATGGTTCAACTGGAGATAGCTCGGGATTGGCATTTGTAACATGTTTTATGTCGTATGTATCATATAATTAAGCAATATTTGCCAATATTAATATAAATGGTTAATTTAAAATTATATTTTTATCATTACAGTTGTAGTTTGTGGCTAAGATATGGAACACTTACTGGAGATTTGTTCATTATATTTGTAAATATATTTGGAACAATATTACAAATATGTTATATATTAATTTATATCTTATATAACGTAAAAAGATCAACTACTATTAAGCAGTTTACAATAGCGATTTGTTTGATTTCGCTTGTATATCTGTACAGTATATTTCAAAAAAACAGAGTTTTGGCTGAGAAACACATAGGATTTCTTAGTTGCAGCTTGACCATATTATTCTTTGCATCACCATTAATATCACTTGTAAGTATGAAATAACATTTTTTTATTTGTATTTTCACAAAATAATAAGGCTCATCTAGTAAAATTATTGATGGAAAATATGTATATTTTTTTTAAATATTATGCTAAGGAGGAAGGTTAATAAAGTCGTTTTTGTGAACTCTCTAAAACTAGCAGGATCAAATCAGCAGAATCAAATCGGATCTACCGGAATTTTTAATATTTATTAATTGTACTTTTAATTTTGTACTGTGTGCTATTTCGAAAAAAAATCATGGCGCTGCTAGCTTAATATTAAGCTGGCAGGATCAATTCAAAATAAAAGAAAAATAATATATCATAAATTAATAGGATAGAATTTATACTAATTTGTACTATCAAGAACATTCTATATTATATCATTCCTAAGGAAACAGTGGCGCTACTAACTTATGTAATATTGAAACTGCTAGAGGACCATAAAAAAAATAAAGGACAAAAATGAACAAGACTGAATTTATATTAATTTGCACCATTGAAAGTAAATTAATATTTTATATTCTTTTTTCTCCTTAAAATGTAACTTTATTAGTATATACTTTTAATCTATATGTTAGTGACTTCACAGCAAAACCTATGAGCCTGGCACTTTAAGAAAAAAAAATTTTTTCAATAAGCATTAAATTGAACTAAATTTGTAACGTTTTCTTTTTGTTTGTACCTTAAGGTGTTCAAAAAAAAGGAAAAAATCCTAACACCCTATTTTAAAATATTTTAAACCTGCAAGATGCTCTGTTTCGGAATCGTTTGTACTCAACCAATCCGAAATAGCACTGAAATTTCAAACTTATTGCGGATTACAAATATCTTCAGAAATAACGAAGTTAGCTTTACCTCTATTTTGAAATTTCATAATTACTAATTATTAATTGCCCTTAAAGATATAAACGAAATGAAAAAACGATACAAACAGATACAACAAGTGATGCTGAGGCATTTCTCTTTCTTGGAAACATGTCTCAAAAAAAGGTGATAATATTTTTTCAAACTTTGATCTAACACTGATCTAAAAACAAAAAGAAAGATGAGACAAACAAGTACAAATCAAACTAATTTATTGCTGTTATACTAATTTATTATATGCTAAAAATATTTTTAAGTTGAGTGTTGAATTAATTCACATCGATTCTGTTGTTGAAGTCACTAACATATAGATTGTAAGTATATACTAATAAAATCACTTTAAGGAAAAAAATATAAAATATTAACTTACTTTCAATGATACAAATTAATACAAATTCAATCTTGTTCCTTTTTGTCCTTGTATCTTTTATGGTCTTATATAAGTGTTTTTATGCCTCCTACAGACTTACATCATACAATTTTTTTTTTATTGCATGATCATTAGGAATGTAAAAATAATCATTATATGAGAAAAAATTTGATCCATAAAGCCCTAATTATTAATTATATATACATATATCATTATGGCCGGTATTCATAGTCAGATCTTATATTCAAGACCTTTCTTAAGTACAGTCTTAAGAAATCACTAAACAATCAGAGAGCCGTCTTAAGACGTTACTCAAGCAGTCTTGAAATAAGAACGAACTATGATACCGCTCTGTGATACCTAAGCCTTTTTCATGACTAATAAATAAATTAATAAAACATTTTTGTTTATTATACTGCTCTGCTATCATATTAACACCATTTTAGACTATCGTCCCCTAAAATGAATACAGCTTATTGTGAAAAAATAAATTTTTTTATTACACTTGATATATGGGGACATATTGCACTCGTATGCAATGATGTGATTTTTAGTTGCAAAAAAATTGAAAAACTCAAAGACCAAAAGCAAAAAAATAAAATAAAATGTACAATAAAAACGAAAATATTTTATTAATTCATTTATTAGTTATGAAAAGGACTTGCATATCATAATGCTATATCTAGATTAATAATTAATTAAGGCTTTACGGATCGAATTTTTATCTCGTATAATGAATATTTTTCACATTTCTAGTGATCGTACAATATAAAAAAAATGTTTAATTGGAAATCCACTAAGCGGTCTTATTCACTCTCCTCTTTTACACTGTAACTTTACGTATTGATAATAAATAACTACAAATTTGTTATAGGCACATGTGATTAGAATGAAAAGCACAGACAGTTTACCATTTCCAGTCATAATGTCCTCTATGATAGTATCTTGCCAATGGTTTGCATATGGATGTCTGCTCAGTGATCAATTTATACAAATACCAAATTTTATGGGTTGTATTTTATCAGCTTTTCAACTTTCTTTGTTTTTGATTTACCCAAGTAAACGAACAGATCAAGCTTACTTTATATGAGAACATTATCTTTTGTTCTGTGGATTAATTAGATTGATTAGTGTTGTATAAAAATACTATATTATCAATAATTTTTTAGCGGTATATACATTTATTTTATCTTAAGTATATAGGATATTCAGCAACAGAGAAAATTCAAGGAGTAGTTTTAAATGATAAAATAAGACAGAAATTAAGAATAAGAAAAAATTATGATTAAAGCTTAAAGATTTTCAAAATTCACGTAAAAAGTAAATTATTAAAAGTACATGAATATTTAGACATTTATAATTAAACGAAGCATCTATCGTCGCATTTTATTTTTTTCTATTTTTATCTTGAATCATTTTCTATTCACTATATATTTTATCTAGAATCACTTTTTAAATTTTTTCCCATCTATTTGTTGTCAAATTCTTTGTAAAGAACCCCATCCAAAACCACAGAAAAAAACCATTTAGTCAAATTTTCTGGAACTCTGGGAAATATTTATTAATGTGATGCTGAACAAAAGTATTCATGAGCACGACATTAACTGAATACCTATTTGCGTTTTTCACTGGCAAAACTGGTGCCCACTCAGTGCAAATTAAAGCTGCTATACACTAACCTAATTGAATGCAAAAGTGAAATCTCAATAAAATACGCAATGTAAATTTTATTAAATACCACAATAAAATGTATTGAGGATTTCGCGGTTTAATTCATTTTTATTTTTGGTAAATGTTAAGAAGATCCCGATCCATTCAAATTTTGACAAAAATATATTCAATCACTGCATTTTCTTATGAAAATGAAGAATTTACAAGAAAAAAGTATTGTTCTGTCCTGCGAACTGAGATATTTCAAATTAAAGTCGACGACTATGCAGGTTAGGAAATCTGTCATGATTACGCAACACTTCATAATTGTTTTTACAATTTGAAAAATTATATTTCATTTTAATAAGCAAATTATTGGGTCATCTAAAAAGTATCCGCGGTTTTTTGTCACTAGATGTGTGTTGATGGTCATATATCTAGTGACAAAGTACCGCGGATACTTTTTAGATGACCCAATATTAACATGAAGTTAATAGTTTTTAAATTATAATATATTCACGCTGGATACATCTTTGACACATCATGTGAACAGCATACAAAACTTGCGTGATGAAAAAGTGCGGAATAGCGCTGATTGGTTGTTTTGATGCATTCTGTATATCACACTCCTATTCTGGACCATGTGATTTCATCCTAAGGCCCGTTCTATAATCAATCGTATGTCGGAGTCGTACACATGCGCACTAAATTATTGGCTGTCGAATGAAGTTGTTGCAAGTCGGCTGTCGTCGGAATAGAAGATGGTCAATTCCATCTTTTCCGTCTAGACTAGATAAAACATAAATCCTTCGGACACATTTGTGTATAGATAAACAGATATTTTTATATGGATATATTTATATTACAATATATTGGCTCATCTAAAAAGTATCCGCGGTACTTTGTCACTAGATATATGACCATCAACACACATCTAGTGACAAAAAATCGCGAATACTTTTTAGATGATCCAATATTATGGAATGTAGATGAAATAATTATTGATTTCGTTCGCGAAAATCATTGTTTGTATGATAAATGTGGATTTTAAAAATGTTAGCAAAAAAAAGATCTGTGAAAATAAAAATATCCACAAATTTGAGAAACTGTTATGATATAAATATGTAATTTTTTATTTGTTAAATTATTATTATTAATATAAAAATATTTTGTAATTTAATTCTTTTTTGTATCAAACTTAAGAAATGCTTATAAGAACTGACACTGGGTATCTATCTGTATATAAATTTATTCAAGTTTAATTACTTTAATAATATACGTTTCGATCATTGTTTTGATCTTTTTCAATATTATAAAATTAATTAAATCAATGTATAGTAATTATCAAACAAGTGGAGTTGCATTATTCTATATACAATCATATAATTTGCGTCCAAATTAATAATAAATTTGAATATGTATTCAACGTTTCAATATCCATTCTTTACGTTTATTTCAACTTTCCGGCTTCGATCAACGACTCAACTGTAGAATAGCAAGTGCGACATACAACATACGACAAACGACTAGTAGAATGGACTACATATAACTCCTAACATATAAGGCTGCTTTTTCATGCTGATGCTTGACGCTCATTTTTAGCGTCAAAACAGATCACGTAATCAAAATTGACGAATATCAAGCATTAATTTTGATCGCGTGACCTGTTTTGACACTCGAATAGAGCGTCAACATGAAAATGCAGCCTAATGCATAAGAAAATGTATCGATCGAGTCCTCCGTTTCCTTTTTTTCCATAATATAAAGAACTCTGATGCAATTTCTTATGCCTGTGTTATACGTTATAAGAGTCTGTACTCTCCCTTTAACATTGGCAAACAAGCATGCAACAATTTACCGCAGAAAAAATTGAGGGAAGGCCGCACAGATTTTGCATAAGGCATAATGCATAGTGCATAAGAGAATTAATCAATCAGAATTCTTTCTTTTCTTCCAGTTAACGGAAAAGAAGAGCTTTGATTAGTTGATTTTCTTATGCATTATGCGTTATGCGTTATACATTAGAGAGCCTACAATCAGAGTGACACCATACGTATCACTTGTGATTGGTCCATATTTTAGCCATTCCTTCCAGTTTTTTAAACGCATTATTTTCTAAATTTTGAATTCATGTTAAAAAATGCTCAAAAATTGTGACAAATTAAAAAATGATAATAAATAAATATTGTATATAAAATAATAAAACTTTTACATATATTATTTATTATAAAATTTCATTAATTTTGTACTACTTGCAATATTATACATTTAGTAATATTGCACATTACTTTATACAAAACGTTTTATTGCACATTATTTACGCTATTAAATGCGCTAGTTTATTATCGATTCTTTGTTCCTACATTTTAGGAGCAAAATGCATCTGTAATAATATAAAAGAAATCCCAATACCTTTACGTATCTATGTCGTTCAATCCTGTCGCACCTAACCCTAAAACTGACAGTCTGTTAGATAGACTGAGACCATATATCTCTTTCTCTCTCGCAGAATTTCGCTAAAATATGACGTCTCTTGTATGACGCCACTCTGATTATAGGCTCTCTATTATGCATGAGTCTGTGCTGCGACCTGTATGCCTATTTTTTAACTTCGTAACGACAATATCACCATTATCTAGAGATATCATTACTATCTAGAGATATATCAGAGAGAAATCTGAGAGAGTCCATGTCAGATTTTTCGTGACATCGTCGAAATTGCCCATACAAATTCTCAGTCCGGATCTACATAAGTTGTTTTCAGCCTTAAGAAATTGACTAATTACAATCGAATGCTAGGAGAATAATTGATTGTGATTCATCCGTTCCTTATGGCTTAAGATTTAAAAATCTATTGTAGATCCGTGATCAAACGCATGGTTAATCAATATGCTGAGGCGTGTTCGTTGGATTACCTGAGAGTTCTCCGAGTGTTATGTTATCCTTGTTTAACATTTGGTAAGTAACAAGAATGGAGTGATACTTATATGCCTATTCTCTAACTTCGTAACGACAATATCACCACTATCTAGAGATATCATTACAGAGATTTAACGACATGATAACGAAAAATGGTATTCTGTAATTTACTATAATGATAGATGTCGATAAAAGTATCGATAAAGTATCGAATTTTATCGTTAGCACAGGGATACAAGACTCCTCGATAAACAATAGCGACAATATAACTAGACATATAGCGATCAACTCCGGCTCCGGATAGTGGTGGTACGGAAGTGTGTATAAATATGGTATAAATATTGTAATTTAAATAAACATCATACATATTAAATATGTTGAAAAGCACGCAAAAAATTTTATAGCAAAATATTTTAATTAAAAGTAATGTATTATAAATGTTGTAATATTTGAAAATATAAAATAAACAAATAAATTTAGGTTATGTTTTATATAAACTTTATACGCAATGTAAATGAGATATGCTTTTCATAATAATGTTATTAAGATTTTCTCTTACTTTTAAGGTAAAATCGCTGAAGAGTATAGTATTTAGAATGAAATATATTATTTTTATAAGAAAGAATGCGGAAACTTGAAAGAAGAATAGAGAGAAGATTGTTGCGCGATGCGCAAAATCCATTTGAACAACAAGAATTTATTGTACAGTTCAGACTAAACCAAGTTTTGATCATGCAAATTGTTAATAATTTAAGACAAGATTTAGAAAAACAACGTATAACTGGTCTCTAGAAATTCAAGTTTTGGTTGCAATTGATTTTTTTGCTCATGGTTCTTATCAAAGACCAGCTGGAAACCAATGCGAATTAGTAAGTCAGCCAACTACTAGCCGTTGCATACGTAAAGTGCATAATAAATACATAATTAATAAATATACATTTATTATGCCAATGGATAAAATTTTCCATGATGCCACATGAAAAGACTACTGCAATAGAACAAATTTGCACTAGCTGCACAGATATTTCCTCGAGCTGTTGGAGCTACTGATTGTACGTACATAAATATTCTTGCATCACATGTTCATGAAGAAGCATATGTTAATCACCATCATTCTTTGAAAGCAGTAAGTATAATAAAAATGTTTTATGTTTTATGTCAAGCTTGTCCAACTTTAGTTCAATTTCGGAGCAAGACCGTCAACACAAAAAATTAAGGTAAGAATTTCGGGACTGTAAAAAAAATATAAGTAAGAATTCGGGACTGTAAAATTGATATGCGTCTGAGTAATGCATATCAATATTTTATAATCCCCGAAATCTTACCCGTATTGATTTTTTGTGTGACCTTGCGTCTCGGTAGCTAAAGTTGAACAGGCATGTTTTATATTTCATTAGCTAATTTTGAACTTTGCAAATATATTAACAGTGCGTGCATGCATGTGTAAAAAGTATTATATAGAAAGTATCCTGTTAATTCTAATATTTTTACAGATAGTTGATTCAGATATGAAAATATTAAATATAAATGCACGATACCCAGATAGATGCAAGGAATGATGCATATATCTGGAGTGCTTCTCCAATTAAACGTGTCATGGAACATTGGTATAACCAAGGGGAAAATTTATTTAATTGGTAAGCATTAATTGAATGTTGATTACGTAGGTAACTTTTCAACTTTTATTGTGCAATTAATTATATACAGTTAAAAGTATTCATATTTCCATTCAAAAGCAACATTCTTTATAGAAATGTACATCACTGAGAAAGATTGTTCACTTTCAATAGTTTTCTCCAAAAAGATTTAAATATTTAGTAAACTTATAACATGAAATAAACTGTTATAGATTTGTTCTTTTTAGCTGATCTAATTCTTGCACAATTCGTCTCTTCTCTTTTTTCTCTGAAAAGAAATGAGGAAAAAAATGATGAAAAAAAAAGAGGAAAGATGAACTGTGTAAGAAATTCAGATAAAGAGAATAGACTTAAGATCTTTTGTCCGGAGAATTAAATCACATATGTATTTACAGGAGATGCTGGATATCCATTAGAGCCATGGTTAATGACACCGTTGACAAATTATCCTCAGTGGAATCGCTAGTGTCATTATAATCAGAAATTATGTAAAACACGGAGTATCGTTGAAAGATTATTTGGAATTTTAAAGGAAACGTGGAGATGTTTGTCTTACCAACGTATATTGATGTATGCTCCAGATATTAGCAAATTAATTGTAAATGCATGCGCAGTTTTACATAATATACGTGTACACTATCGACTCCCATTAGAGATAGAAGAAAATGTCGTCTTTGACGATGCACATGCAAATGAAGCAAATGATATAGAAGAAAAATAAAATGTAGTACGCAGAGGGCCTAGAGCAGTAGTACAGCATATACAGAAGCAAATTATGCGAGATTCGTTTCCCAATTACCAATGTGCATGGGATAATGAGAATGAGTAATTTTAGATGAAAATAATTTGAATTTATTACATCGATGAATATAAACGTCTGATTTGTATGATAATATTTTGTATTATAAAATATTATAAAATATATAAAATAATAATGAAAAAGGATTAAGTTTACATATCCTTGAATTTATGTACCGTCTTTCAAACATTCAAACATAATTTCTAATAACTGTGTTTGCCGTTCCTCATTCTTTGCCATTCTATCCATAACTTCGCCTATTCGCAATAATGTTTCAGCTTGCGATTTCATAGCCTCAGCTAGCATCTATAAACATATAATATTATTAAACTAAAGTATAATTATAACAATTAGTAATGAGCTTATTAGGTTAGAGTTAAATTTGTAATGCTTAATATTTTTGTGTGACTTTATATACATTTTTAAGTTCATCAAACTGCGCACCGAACAAATTTTCGATTTTGTGGGTTCTAAACTGAACGAAAGTAATAATATTATAATATTAAATGAATAATAAATTCAATGATTATCAATTTATTATTATAATATTACTATTCTAGTTCAATTTAGAAGTGTGTTAAGAATGAAAATGTACTCGGCACACTAGTTTGATGAACTTGAAAATGTATATAAAATTATAAAGAATATTAAGCTATGTTCCAGCTCTGATAAAATAAGGCTTATTACCAAGTTAGTTGTGCATATATAAATTGGTCAAAGTTTTTTTATTATTAAAATTAAAATACTCTTAAATTGACAATAAGACTAATCACCATTGCTTCAGCATGTTTGTCTGCTATTGCCCCAAAAGATTCTCGAGCATCATATAATTGTACTCCTAAACGTTCTGCATGCCTACCTGCAAATATGTAAAAAAAAAAAAATACAAAAATTTATTTTAAATCGGAAATATACACATATGATTTATTATTTTTTTTATTTAGAATTTTAGGGTTGTAGACCAGTATTCATAGTCAGTTCTTATTTCAAGACCGCCTTAAGTAATGTCTTAAGACGGTCTCTGATTGATTCGTGACATCTTAAGACTATACTTAAGACGGTCTTAAGTATAAGAATCGACTATGAATACCGGCTGTAGTATATTTATGTTTTTTGCATTCACTCGACCTGATTTGTGTTCTATTTGCTAAAAATAAAAAAGTATTAATATTTAGAATATATAGTAAAGTTTAACAATATGACCTAATTTACACCACGTACTTGATACGCGTAATAATGCGCAGTTTCATCAATGATAATTTAATTTAATATTAAACTATCATTGACCTTCCCAGTGAGAAATAATAATAGAATCGATATTGAGTCAACGTCGATTCGACGTCGATTTCATTGTTATTTCACACTGGGTCTGTTACACAGCATGCTTAATTAGGTTTAATAACATCCATAGTTATGAAATTGGCCAATCATAGCTGTTCCTCAGAAGAATGGAACAACCGTGATTGGCCAGTTTTATAACTACGGTATGTTATTAAACCTAATTGAGGGTATTACTATGTAAATGTAGTCATTATGGTGGAATCAGGCATTAGTATTAAGTGCTCGGTGTAAACTAGGGTAATGAAACCAACTTTAATTTTAAGCTAACATCCTGTACCTTGTGATGATGACGTACATGGAACCTCTATTACGTTCTGTTCAATGAAATTTTCTCCATTGTTCGATTCACTTCCTTCATTGTTCAATTCACTTTCATTTGTAATAGCTGAAAAATAAAATTGTATATATTTCTTTATAAAATAGAGTATTGATAATATGTACCTATGTCTTCTAATTCTGGGATGATAATTAGAGCTGGTGTTTCATTTAAAATATTTCCTGCTGTCAATTCTTCAATGGCATTCTATGAGCGCATAATACATGTTTCCTGTTGCTGCTCTTCCTTTTCTCAATTTTTGTTTTATCTGATACTTTACATTTAAGATCTCGCCATGTCTGTAAGAAAATAAAAAAATTATTAAATGTTAAAGCAGTATATTTAATAAATGTGTTAATAACTTCAAAAAGTTATATGATAATTTTAATAAGTTTTACGATCAATAACAGAAAGAATACAAGAGGAAAAACCTTATTAGTAGTCAATATTTGTTGAATATTGATGTTCAAGGTGTTTGGCAATAAGGGAAAAATTTTAGGAAAAATTAGAAGGAACTTTGCAAAGATTTAAGTGCATGTAAATGATAAAATAAAACGAAAATCAATACTTATAACAAAATTGCGGTGAAAACTTGATTTGTAATGGATTTGGATTTGTAATTATAAATGTTTAAACGTTCACGTAAAAAATATCCGAAATACATATGTTTTAATTATAATTTTATTACTTTTTCTTGTTTAATTATCTAAAATTACTCTTTAAATTTTTTCACCTGTTGCCAAGCATCCCTGTATTATATACTATATACTTACAGTCTTCCACGACTTTATATCCTTTTCTTTGCCTTTAGATCCTAATGAATTTAAGAAAGTGACTAAGAGTTCCCAACTTCCTTGTAATTGTATGTTACTGTTCATAGTAAATTTGCCAGATGCTGAGAATATTGTTTTAAATAAGTTATTAGAGCTTCAATTTGTTGTTGAGTGGCTCTGCCCTGTCGAATTCTTCCAGTTTTTCTAAAAGAAGAGCTAACATTATAGGCTAAATTTAAGAAAAACAAGTAATATGATTAGAAAACATAGTTTCAAAAAATTAAACAACTTTTATTGAAGGAACTCTGTGTCCTTTACATCAAATGATTCACCTTATTCTATGCATAAAAATATTATATTAAGGTATGAAGATAATATCAAAAAATTAATAGTTTAGAAGATATTTCATATTTCAAATCCAAATATGCTAGAATAAAGTATGAAATATCTGCACAATTGATTTTTTTTATAACTCTTAATAATTTTATATGCAAAATAATTAGAAAAATCATTAATTTCATTATAAAAAACAAAGATAATTTCGGACTTTATATAAACTTTATCGGCAAAAACGAATTTAATGTAAATAAATGATGTAAATTTCATACATGATTTACTAATTTTTTCATATATAATTTAAATTGTTTATACATATAGACTTATTCTTGTAACATTGTGTTTATTGAAAGCTTTGTTTTTCTTGATAATTATACAGAATAGGTCCTGCAGCTTATAAATCAATAAAATTAGGGCTTATTCGACGCGTTTTTGCATGAAACAAAAGAATCTGGCAGAAATAATTGTCGCTCTGCCCTGCGAATCGAGATATTAAGTGTTAAACTTTACGACTGTATGGTTAGGAATATATCTCTTCTATTTTTTTTTCACTTTACTGTTATCACTTAAAAGATTCTAACCTTGTTATTTAACGTTCCTAAACTCATCAAGAAATATAGGAGATTGGCTGGATACTACGACGACAGAGTTATATGAAATTGAATATACTCGTTTCGATAACGACGTCTTAATCGTATTTTGTATGAATATCGTTTCGCTAGCCTTTACAGAATAACCTCGTCGTTATAGCATCATCAGCGACAACCGTCGCTACGTAACGATAACGACATCGTCGTTATAAAGTTAGAGAATAGGCATGCTGGATAACACTCGTCTGGGAATTTGAACATAACCTTAAAGTAATTATTGTAATTAAAGTCTCTAGATGTAGCGATGACGATATCATCGTTACAAAGTTAGAGAATAGTCATACTGGAGAATGGAGCTGACTCATCCGAAAGCCGCTTTTTAGTGTACCGTTGAAATGAGTAGAAGATATGTTAGGAACGTGATGGAACATACGGTATTGCATACTCTATTATTGTACCACACTAGTATTGTGTATGACATATGTACGCACCGGCAGAAATAGTGTCTCCTAGCGTTCGGCGTGCGGCATTACATTATATTTTTTTAAATTTTATTATATGTTAACTTATATTTAACTATAAATTTAATTTTGCAATCTTACGATACAAAATATTAATTTCATTTACACACTGCAAATTTATAAATGCATGCAAAGCTATTACATGAGTCTCAAAATTACATGTAATGTTGTAATAATGTACAAAAATTTTTTACAATGTTAAAAATTTTTATGCATAATTACATTTTGTGCATAATAAAAGTATTATTATGAATATTAGTGAATGAGAGACACCGGGGAATCTTATTCATACTAACATATGTGTGAGACAGCGAAAGGACACCATGAGCCAGCATCACCAGTTACACTTTCTCTCTCAATCGTGCACCTTGCACTAAGGACAGAATATTGGAGAGCGCCTCCACTATTTTCTCCCTTCGCGCTGTTCGCCTCCTCCGCGTAACACGTACGTGTGCGCTTTGATAGGAGTGTGTAGCGCGCGCCGAACGCCAAGGGATCCATTCCTGCCGTGTATAATGAGGAACAAAAATGAACTTGTACTTCGGTGTAATACATACCTACGTTGGTGTAGATTAACGGCGCGCTCATCACACTGATTTATCGACGTTTATTTTTTTACTCAAATATTATTAACTTTACAGAAAAATTGCAAGAGACAAAAATTTTTTTTTTTTCATAGAACTCTAAGAATTTTGTATCAACTCTTTAACACTGTATTTCCTTATTTTCAATAAGTCGGGCCGCTACTATACCCAGCGAATTAATGCAGTACACTGTACATATATACACACATACACATTTGCAGAAGTGCACTATAAATGTCGGAACTAATCAGAGAAGAGGAACACACACACTCTTCCTTGATTCTCTCTAGGTTTGTTCGCGTCGCATATTCCAAATTAACCTAGAGAGCACTTGTATCACAGGTAAGGTGGTTGGAGCAGTTGCATTCATGTGCTCCAATGTTCAGTGACATGAACGGATTTAAGACAAGTGAGCATGTCACCTAACCTAACCTAACTGTGAGATTACTTGAACGGATCGGACATGTGTCTCGTTTCGTTTCGGGTATTTTGTGTTACCTCGATTATTTGAAAAGCATTTTGATACAAAATGGTTTTTAATAAATATAAAAGTTATATTATATTTTTATATTATATTGGGTCATCTAAAAAGTATCTGCGGTTTTTTGTCACTAGATGTGTGTTGATGGTCATATATCTAGTGACAAAGTATCGCGAATATACAAAGTATCGTGAATACTATCTTTTGAAGTGAGGCAAATAGAGCGTGTTCTTAATTGATTGATGGAGTATGCTCTAACGCGATGCGAACGTATTGGAGCATGTTGGACATGTTGGAGCGTGCGACGCGAACAAATCTTCTCTCTGATTCACCGTAAAGTGAGTATAATCCCAATAGGATCTACAATAGATTTTTAAGCCTTAAGCCATAAGGAATGGACGAATCACAATCAATTCTCTTCGCATTCGACTGTAGTTGGTTAATTTTTTACGGCTTAAGGCTTAAGACATCTATCGACTGTGTGATTCAGATTTCCACTCAAGTGTCACCTAGGTATCATTCCATTCTTGTTATTTATCGTACATTAGACAAAAATGACATGACACCTGAGGAGCACCCAGGTAGGAATCTGAATACGCCTTTGGTCTAGTTTAGACCGAGCATTTGATAGTAAGTACTAAATCACTTGATACGATTGGTATAAACGCTGGCGGATTATTTTGGTCTGAATCACGAGTATCAGACCAAGCTGGTACGTGTATCAAATGGTACGTGTAAAGAATCTCAGAGTGCTGTAAACGCTTGGTTGATTTTGGATCGTATATTAAAATTCGTTACTGCTTTTAAGTTCAGATTAAAGATTTTAAAATTAGAGATTTTATATCTTGAAAAGCAGTGAAGACATCATGCCACCTAATCTGATCCGTTCTGAAACAGATCGGTGTAAGGACTTGTCAAATAATTAATCCGCATCAATTTGATACACATACTAATCAATTTAATGGTGTAAAAGAAGTCTTTATAGATCCGAACTAAAAAGAGTGAGCCAATTCGAAAGTTACCATTTAGTGTCCTACATCCGGGGATATATTTATATGATGCAATTCCTTGTGATAATTTCTTTTTTCTTCAACATTGTCTTTTTTCTAACTAATAGTAAAGCGGGAAGCACAGACTCTTGCATAACACATAACACATATAATGCATAAGAAAATGTATCAATCGAAGTCCTTCATTTCCTTTCTTTCTATGAAATAAAGAATTCTGATTGATTCAATTTCTTATGCCTCATGTGTTATGCATTATGCAAGAGTTTGTGCTCCCAGCTTAAGACGGGGAGCACAGACTCTTACATAATGCATAACACATAATACATAAAAAAATGAACCAATCAAAATCTTTTATTTTCTTCCTTTCCATGAAATAAAGGACTCTGATTGATTAATTTTCTTATACTTCATGTTTTATGCATTATGCTAGAATCTGTGCTCCCCGCTTTAGGCGAAACTAATCAGCATTAGACACATGCATTGGCGCCAATATCGACATATTAAACTGATTTTTTATATGCAATACACTGCGGCAGCAATTCGTTACTATTGATTAAAAATTTTGTATTAGATGATGCACTTCCGACGCAAAATACATTTTACCGCATCTCATTGAAGCTCAATCGAACGAACAACGAGCAGCAAAGAATTCAAAGTTGAGAAAATCTGCAATATTTGCAAAAAATGTGAAAATTAAGTACATTTACTAAAATAAGTACAATTAATAATAATAAATTTATTAAAATAAATACATTTTTATTAAGATTTGAAATGATGGGGAGATATTCTAAATTTTAAATAATTACTTGAAATGATAATTATTCAAATTGTAACTGTACTAATAGTACCATATAAGTACCATATAAGTTGCCATATAATCAAGTTTTTTTATTTTTTTTAAGTTTTCTATATTAATTTTTGAGCTGAGCAAATAAAAGACATATTTGAGATTAAACTTTAATACATATGTCGTTTTTTTTTTATGTATAGTAAATGAAGCAGAAACAATTATGGAAAATTTGCATCTCGTAACATTTTCGTTGCCGTAGCATGCTGCGCATGAAAAAGCTTTTTAGGGTGCATTTGTTTACGCAATGGCTAGCGCATTCACTGCTTTCTCATCTGTTAGTCACATGACTTAAATTTACCGAACGAACTTCTGCATTAGTCTGAATCTACAATAGGTGTTTTAAGCCTTAAGTCGTAAGAAATTAACCAACTACAGTCGAATGCGAGGAGAATAATTAATTATGATTCGTCCATTCCTTATGGCTTAAGGCTTAAAAATCTACTGTAGATCCGGGATTAAGGGTATATCCACACAATCTTGCATAGCCGCGTAAACGTATGAATAAAGAAAATTATCCACATTTTACATGCATCTTTATAGTGTTACATCCCGGGGAGGTTCGGCCGGTTCCTCGGTTTCGAACTAAACCAAGACTCTAGGTTTAAAATTATTTCGTAGTTTGCGCCTCGAGAAGGGTCTCGGCCATATTTGTCCGATCAATTGATTGGCTAAAATCGGGCACTAGATACGCCGACTATAGTGAATTCCGGATTGCTACACGGCTGCTCTCCCGTTCTCCCTAGATTTGCGACGAATCTTATGAGGATTTCAGGGCACTCAGAGTAATTCGCGAGAGCATGCAGAGTGATTGTTAATACTGAGCACATGTTACAAAATTCAAAATTCAAATTTGGGACAACTCAAGTGGATGTAATGCTGCAAGATCCCTTGATAATTTCTCTTTTCGGTTTCTGGTGCGAAGATATAAAGGCCATTCTATTAGGTTGGTGCGTATGAAATGTCGGATTTTTAAGTGAATATATAAAACTGCATATCTTTTTTCAAAAGCTGTTTATTTAATCAAAATATGCTTCATTTGTTTCAATATACTTTTCCCAACGAGATTTTAATGCATAGATGCCTGTCTTAAAGAAATTCTGATGTTTAGAATCAATAAACTCTGATATGGAATTTTTCAATCTTCATTTTCTGTCTTCATTTTCATACTGTTTAGCTCCTAAAAACTGTTCTAAATGTTTAAAAAAATCAAAGTCGGTTGGCGAAAGATCCGGTGAATAAGCTGGGTGCTGCAAAATTTCATATTTTAATTCATTTAATTTCGCAATTGTTTTGTACGACGTATGCGGCCGAGCGTTGTCGTGGAGAAGTATTGGACCATTAACAAATAATGGGCGTATAATTTTCAATTTTTCATGCATTTCATCAATATACTGGCAATATTTTTCGGCTGTAATTGTCTCCCCAGTTCGAAGGAATGAGTAATGAATTACTCCAGTCACATTCCACCAAACTATTATTAAAATTTTCCGTGGATGAAGTGATGGCCACAAGCCTCATTCCTATCAAGCCACCGAGCACACTTTTCCTATTGTCGTAAAGAATCCATTTTTCATCACAAGTAATAATCCGATCGAAAAATGGCTCTCGATGAAATCGGATAATGATGAGCATACGTTCAATCGATCCAGCTTATTTCGCTCGATTAGTTCGTGCGGTACCCATTTATCCATTTTTTTCACTTTGCCAATTTCAGAAAGGTGTCGCAATATCGTTGTATGGTCAACTTTCATTCTGGTAGCAAGTTCCCTTGTAGATACAGTTGGATTCGTTTCCACCAATGCTTTCAGAGCATCATTTTTCACAGACGTTTTGGGTCTTCCACGTGGTTCATTTTGTAGACCAGACCGAAATTTTTCAAACCAACGCTGCACTTTTCGATCGTTAACAGTATTCTCCTCAAATGACTTAAATGGTGGATTAAAGGTCATTCTGTATTGGTCGTATCGTAGATTGACGTCGCAAGTCAATCTTGTTGCTTCAGCCAATCCAATACTTCAATTTTATAGTCGCATGATGCTTAAGACGCTTCTGATGCTACCAATATAGAATGGCTTTAATAGGTAACAGTTGTTTAACAATGTATTGTATTTAAAGGCTCACTTATCTAATGTTCGATTGTATTTGATGATGCCCTCAAATATCGACAGGAATAGGTGATCGGCGTCCCAGACTTCTGCAACTCGAAGTGGATTAAACTATTGGTCCTAGGTCTCGCAGAAAAGCTGCTCTCTCTTTCTCTCTCTCTTTCTCTTGCTAGTGGATGATTATATCGTGCAGAGTTATCAAGGAGATGGAGCATCCATAAAACATTGACTCGAGTTAGCTTATTTAAATGTATATTTATAATTCACACCGATACATTACTTACTAATAGTCTACTTATTGCTAATTATTTGTAGATTTAAACATTTGAATTGACGCTTGAAGAATTAGAAGAAAAAAAATGAAGACTAATACTTTTAGGCCTTGGAATTAGAAAATTAAGATTTAGAAATTAAGTTCTTCTAGATTTAGACATTAGGCTTCACACATAGCACTTAAATTAAAACAGTGGCGATTGGTCGATCAACGGGAGGAATCGACGATTCGCGCGTGACCGCTCGGGATGACGCGCGTTGTTACTCTGCCGCTCTCTTACATTTTCGCCGTGGGCGTTCCTAATTCCCCCTTCCGCAATGAGGAAAAGCGTCAGATACGTCTCTAGATGGTCTCTAGAGATTGTCTGCGCTACTCCAAGTCTGTTCAAAATTATTACTGGACAAAATGAGATTGTAACGGACGTGATAATAGGAGAAATGTGGATAATTTTTTTGATGCATACGTTTATGCGACTATGGAAGTTTGTATGGATATACTCTAATAGCTGTTCAGTATCGTATTGGATCGTATCTTTCAATAGAAAACGGACGAAGCTGAGACTGTTTACAGTATAAGTAAAGAGAATGTGTCGTAATTAATGTATCGGAAATCCATCGAGGCGAATTTACGAATAATTAAAATTCAAAAGATGTGTATTTTTAGGTTAATTTGATCGTAAATATGAATTAGCAA